GGGGGGGTTCACAATTATTTATCCACAAGGGGGCGCAACATCCGCATCCAGCCACCAATGATCTGCCTTGATTTCACAACACCAGCGGAAAACAAATTCACTGTGCCGCCCTACACGTCCGCGAAAAGCAAATCGTGCGTTGTCGACTTCATGCTTCTTGCTAAAGTCAAAACCCAAACTGCAGATTGTCTTCACTTTTATTTGCTTTGAGAGGCAGCAAGCGTTTTTTTTTTTTTTTTTGTTTTGTTTTTTAAAATTAACCCTTCGAGGGACAGCGGTTAACACAGTGGACAGCTCATCATGTTATCAGGTTACAGGGTGCATGAAAGGGTTAAATTGAGCAATAATTGAAAAGCTGTTTTTCTTGACTTCACATGGGAAAACCAAATTATCAATTTGTTGTGTATACTGTATGTAATAATATTGCTGAGGTCATTATACTGCCCTTTTATACCGTTTCGCCCTCTGAGGGGAAACCATGACGTCCACGATCAAAAATGTAACACTTCAGATCGGCCAATGGAAATCATTTCAAAACTTTCCCCGCCTTTAATGTGACTTCTAACCTCTCCAATTAACGCAAAACAAAGGAAATGTGTTTTGAGAGGGGAAGTCAAAATAAACCACAGGCTCTGTGGTTGCACAAGTGTACACACCCTTCTTTAACTGGCTACGACGCTGTGTTTGCAATTTCACGTGACATTTGACCTCGTGTAGAATGGAAGTCAGCACTCCTGCCACCATTCAAAGTGCCGATGATTAACGCAAAATAATATTCAGATGTTCTAGTAGGCTTTTCCTGGAATTATTTTGCCTTCTAGTCCTATAGGTAGGTAGGTAGGGAGGTGGATGGATGGATGGAGGGATACTCATAATTAAAAAGTCCAAATTAACTCAGTCAATATCTGTCCACCCATCCATAGTTTGGTCTTTGGATTGACGATTTATCCATCATCTATCTACCTACCTACCTAGTGCAACAACTTCTCTTTCCATTAGAAACCCCCCCCCCCCTTTTTGTACCATGTGACGAGTGTATTTTTGTTTTATTCCCACAGGTCACGTTAAGTTAATTTTCGCTTTTTTGTAAGTGTGAACTGCACTCTACACACACACACACACACACACACACACACACACACACACACACACACCACCGCCGATAAGTTGTTCCTGGCAGTCCGGGCTCGCGGATGTTTTCAGAATATTCCCAGTCGTGTCCGCGGCCGTCGCGCTTGATGATCAAAACACGCGTCACCCCCCCCCCTCCCACCACCCCCGGCTCTCACCCCCTTATTCCCACTTGTTTACTCCCATTTCGATGTGCGCAACAGCACCTGGAATGCGGACACTGGTGGCGAACGAGAGAACGAACACGTAATATCCCCCAAACCCCGCGTGGGGAGAACGAGTTGCGAACGCGTTTTACGCACAACCAAAGCCAAAGTAAAAAAAAAAAAAAAAAAGCACCACTGACAACGTAAGCCCCGAACGCACCTGCGGCAGAAACGCACATGCAGCCGCCTGGCGCACATCAGCGAGGAGAAATAACTTCACTCACACTCCAAAAAGGCGCTGCTCCGGGACTGCGATGTTTCCTCCGTCAATTTGTTTTTACGGCGCGTCACAGCTGCTGGCAGGTGGATTGTATAACCGACAAGTCCGAATCCAGCGTTCCGGATCCTCGTTCCCTTCTGTCGTGAAATGACTCCGCGTTATTCTTTTTTGGGTTGTTTTTTTTTTTTTTAATTCCTCTTCGGAGCCCAAGAAGAAGAAGTAGCCTCGCTCCCTCGCTCGCAGTGTTCCTGCCCGGTCATGATATCATGTCCATGTGACACGCTCGGGCCTCCGTCAATGGCAACTTAAAGGGACCTCCCACGTGATGGCTTCTCGCGAACAGGGGTATTAAAAAAAAAAAAAAAAAAAGAAAGAAACTCTGACAGCACCTGGGCCGGGGGGGGGCGGCGAGGGGGGGCTGTGCTTTTACCAGAAAGATGATGACGATCTTGTGGTGATGTCACCGGGAGCCATTGCAAATATATGACGATGTTTATAATGACGACGACGATGATGATGATGATGATTAGGAATGGATTGAGCTGATTATCGACATGGAAAGAAAACATGGTGGTTTTAATGACGCCAGAAGAAAAATCTTATAAGATTCTTTGCCCACTAACAATTACGACGCATAATAATTGATACATAAACATTTATAAATAAGATTTCGTAATTACGTCTACTATTCTAATTATTGACCTTGAGACTGCTAACTCCACCATTAACAAAATAGCAAGTTATAATTATTGAAGAGATGTTATAATAGTATCCTATTACTGCTTTTAAAAGTACTAATGATTCCCATGATGACTAAAGATCATTATACAAATAATTAGAAATATTTATTAATTATTATGGCTACTCAATAAACCCTGGTTCTGCTCATTTGGGACACTTTTCACTTTCCTAATACTGAAGCAACGATGCCCTGGCATTGCCTCACGACACTGCCTTTTCACGTATCTCCTGTTTCCATTCATTCAAACAGTACATCTATTCACATCTGTTGCTAAAGACCTTCTCTTGAGTGTAGCAAGAGTGTCATAAATCATAAATCTCCTCCTTCGGCTGCCATATATAACCTCTCCTGCTGGGCAAAAAAAAAAATGGAACGATGCTGTCACCGCATCTGCCTCACAGATTCATTTCCTCCAATAGCTTCAAAAATAAATAAGTAATCCACCGATTATTCACATGCAAATTTGTGACATTGCATTTTGTATTTATTATTACTCATGAGTAATACGCATCCAATACTCTGTTGTTTTGGCTAGGTGCCATACATCCCATTATAGAACATTCAATAATACATGCATTGCAAATATGTTATTGTAAATGATATATCTCCATTCAAGTAAACAGGGACTTTACTTCACATATAAGCCTGGCGTGACTGCACTGCACTGTATAGATATATTAATGACACATATATTGTGGATCAATTTTCCCAACAGCATACAATCAAACAAAACAATTGTTAAGAGGTGGCAAGATAGAATTTCAGGGCTAGATCGGATTAAAGTGATGCTTTATTTAATGTACATGAGGAGGCCTGGGCACGCCTCCGAGAAGAACTGGTGCAGGGGTGGGGGACTCGAGCGTTGCGGGAGATGAGTCGTGCCTCGGAGTACAATAAGATGATGTAGAAGAGAGCCATTTAACGGGAATAGAGTTATTAGTCATCCGATGATGCATCTGCAGTGTTTGTGTCCACCGACTCGATGTTTCAAGAAAAGACTGAGATCACTCTGAAAGTTGTTTTCCAAAAGTATTATTTTTTGAATATCAAAATTGCTTGCATGTACGGTGAGGGGCAACATGGCGCAATGACAGTACATTTACGTGACTTATGTATAAGCTTTACAACTCGTCTGACAAAAAGAGAAACATTTTAGAGAAAGGAAATAAAAATAAACAACTGAGATAATGTTGCACAAGTGTGCACACCCTTTTAGAGGAAGGCAGGCAGGTCGGTAGGTACTGTTCTGTTTTTACTCGTGTAACTTAAGTGCTGTGTGGATGTAATTTATCTCAGGATGTGAACATTTATATGTTGAATGACTCGTGTGAGTATTCAACTTTTAGTTTGACCAAATTGCAGGCAGCGGTACGTCGTTTGTGTGTCTATGCTAATTTTTAACGCTGCTCGACGTACGTGACGCGTTGCCGTCGCCGCCATATTTGTAAGGGCAAGCCTGCTCGTCCTGTGAATGAAGGACGTGCGTTTTTTTGTATTAAAGCTCTATCACGTTCCAGAAATTCACACTTAACGCCAATATACACTTATTACATTATCCTATTTATTATGAGTGTCCATATGTAAGCTAAAGTCCTAACGTGTGTATAATAAAACGATTTGATTGTGAAGTAAAAATATGGATCTGTTGTTCTTCAGGAGGTTGTTTTAAGAGATGCTAAAGAATTTAAATGTATTAAATATAATCAACCTGATGCATATTGTGTGAAACGAAAAAAATATGCCGTGTGTCTTTTAGGTCGAGCGCGTCTCTTCCTTAGCTCCCCCCCTCGCTTATTTTTTTTTTCCTTCCTGAAACAAGATGGCTGTCGTTCCAGAGAGCAGAGTTCTCACGTTCAGCGTTTTTAAATGGAGCTCGTACTCCTCCGCGTATTTACCAGAGTGAGTAATTTTCACATTCGTCTGCCTGCTCTGTGCATTTAGGCCCTTGTGATATCCTGTGAGCACCGACCTAGTAAGCTAACTGGCCTAGCCCCTCGTCTTAAATCCAAGCTAGTTAGCTTCGGCTAACGATGCTACCGACATTTTTAGAATGATTTATGGCAGGCACTCGTTCCAAATGATATTCTAGGTTAGTTTAGTCGGTTCTAGGACAATTAAATATTCACTCCGTGACACTGTCCAGCCAAATATTAGGTTTAACTCCCTTATTGCATTAAGTCCCCGTTTTATCGACATTGCAGTGTGTCAACGTATGCTGTACTATTATATCGTACTCTTTTTCTCTTTGACAGCATTTTCAATAAGTATCGATCGCAGTGTAATTGACAACAGAGGAAAAGGGCATGCAGGCCCAGCATAATGCACGACAGAACCATTTGAACTCAATAAAATGCATTGCGTTTACTTGGACTTCTCAGCTAATACAAAAGTGGTTACTTCAATGATACATTAGAAATTCAGTATTAATGCTATCTTATTGCTTCCTAAATGCAGAAGTGACTGATTTAAACATGCAAAAAAAAAAAAACAAACTAAAAAACAGCATGATAGTACTGTAATCGTACTTAATACGAAATTTGCTCCACATTAACACTGCGCTGAACTATAATATTTAAGAAAATAGAATTTAATGAGTGAAGCGTAAAAAAGACAAGCAGTTCTTAATGATTAAATGCAAATGGTTGAACTTAAAAGTTATAACAAAACTGTAGTTGGGCAGGGACTCATCTGCGGAATCACACTTTGGGAGTTATTAATCTATGACTTTATACGAATTAGCTGTGCTTATCCGTCACGGTTGCTCCTCACAGCTCGTGGGTGGGGGTTCAAATCCCGGTTGTGGAGTTTTCACATTCTGTCTGGCTTGCTCTCACATTCCAATACCTGCATGTGAAGGACAATTGCCATGAGGGCGTCTTTAATAAATGTAGCCCTGTTGTTAACGACTCTTTTGTGATTGTCGTCCCCATAAATGTGTATTTATTTTGTTGTATTAACTTGTCTTGTTTATTTAGGAACATTTTGGTGGACAAACCTAATGATCAGTCGTCTAGGTGGTCATCAGAGAGCAATTACCCTCCACAGGTAATTATGATGCTGCAACTTGTCTCTTTTTAACCATTGTTACGCAGAAAATTTGTCTTGTGCTTTTGTTTTTAAACTATTCACACTTAATTGTGAAAATATCTCTTGCGGCGTCTCCAATTGACCTCTTGAAATCTTCGTATTCAAATGCAACTGATTGAATTTAAGATGCTGTTCCTGCGTCTTGCAGTTTTTAATCTTGAAACTGGAGAGGCCGGCGATTGTTCAGAGCATCACCTTCGGCAAATACGAGAAAACGCACGTCTGCAACCTGAAGAAGTTCAAGGTGTTCGGTGGCATGAGCGAAGAAAACATGACTGAGCTTTTGTCCAGGTGAGCTTGATCTGCTTACAAATACCGGCGATACGAAAATGTTATTTATTGATGCTGAAAGGAAACATATTGTGCCATGCTTGTAATTCAAAACCCTGCATCTCAAATGAAGAAAAGAAAGCAAAATATGTCTCGTTTAACCGATTTTCCCAGCATGTGCGAGAACTCGGCACGTCCAAGAGTAGAAGTAGTGAAAGGGTGGCCTCTTTTTTTCTTCCCCTCTGCCAGTGGCCTTAAAAACGACTACAACAAGGAAACATTCACCTTAAAGCACAAGATCGACGAGCAGATGTTTCCCTGTAGATTTGTCAAAATAGGTGAGGAGCGGCTCACCCGGATGCAAATCTTAACGTTCGCTTTCTCGAGCTGTTTTGCCGGAGTTTTCCCTCCACTCTGCCCCTGCAGTGCCTCTGATGTCTTGGGGTCCGAGTTTTAACTTCAGCATCTGGTACATTGAGCTGCATGGGATCGAGGATCCGGATGTAGTGCAGCCCTGCCTTAACTGGTATAGCAAGGTAAGATGTGCGTTTGTTTTAAAAAATAATAAAATAAATAATAATAATAATAATAATAATAATAAGATTTTTGTCAAAGTCCCTCCCAAAAATTGTCTTTACTCACCTGAAGCAACGTGAATTAATTTAGTAGTCATTTTTATCCAATGGCTTTTGGTCTAGTGTAGAAAATGTCTTATTTATTTATTTATTTATTTTTTGGGTACATTTTTTAAAAAAATTCCCCCCTGCTTTTTTTGGGCCAACAAACGAACTCCGACTGAATCTCCAGCACCCTCTGTTGCTCTTTCCCAGTTACTACTTCCAAGTGGTTCCATCTCCTTTCCCGTCATTTGCGTCGACTTAACCACACAACAGTGTGCGTCCATCACGATCCAAAGAAAGAATTCCTGATCGACGGTCATTGACATGTTTGTCAGATTTTTTAATCAAACAATTGACGCGCCAATTTAAGTTGCACCCTAGCTGTTTTTTCTCCCATTCAGATGAGACGTGCGATAGCAACAATCGCTGTCAACGCCAGAGGGGTGTGGCCAGTGAGTGTCAAGTGTCCTTTTTATGCCCTTTGCAGTACAGAGAACAGGAAGCCATCCGCCTCTGCCTCAAACACTTCCGCCAGCACAACTACACGGAGGCCTTCGAGTCGCTGCAGAAGAAGACGCGCATAGCGCTCGAACATCCCAT